TGTACATTAGACTGTACAATCCTACAAACAAATAAATACGAGTCTGACGTACAACCCTATGTCTAAAATATTTTTGCAAGATAATTTCGAAAAAAAAACATTTTTTTTTTGGCTGAACATTTTTAAATTTTCGGTGACACCTACATTCGGTAATTTTTTTTTGGTGAGCTTTGTAGGGCAACTCTGGCTAAGATAGTGGGAAGTATTTTGTAAGCCAATTGAAAGACAGTAGGAAAGATACTTTGAAAGACTTTGTTTATTCTGGCCCGAAAGTCTTACAAAAAAGCTCGCTTGCCAACTTTCATTGTGAAGTTTTTTTTTAAATAATTAATTTTTTTTTTATATAATTTTTTTTTTAGGTTTAAGATTTTATTACTTTATTTATTGTGAAAAGAAAAATAAATATTGTTTTTTATTAATTTAATTTGTATAAACCTGGTGCATGTTTTTTTTTTTATATTTTAATTTAATTATTTTTTGTTTCTAATACAATTTCCTTTTATTTTTAGATTTTATTGGTTTTGAAAATAAAAATATCTTTTAATTTCATTTAACTTTTTGGAACTTATTTAGTTTTTGTTCTTTTTTTAATGTTATTATTTTTTAAACTTGGTTTTCTTTTAAGTATTAGATTTTAATTCAACTAAATTTTTTTTGGAAATTATTTTTTAATTTTTCTTGCTTTTGTTTCTTTTAAATTATATATTTTTTTTAATTTTTGAATTTTATTGCTTTAAAAAGAAAAATATTTATTTTTATATATAATTTAAATTTTAGATGCTTAATTTTTTTGTTGAATTTTTTTATTTAACTTTCTTCTAGCTTTTACTTTTTGTTAATTAAAAATATGTATTTTTTTCAATTTATTTTAATTTTACGAAAACTTATTACTAAAGGACAAACAGAATAACGCTAAGGCAACCCCGTTTGCAGATCCTTTAATTAGTCTTTCGAGAGACAGAACAGAGCTTTTAAAATGGTTGCCAGAATTGAAAATTGTCTTCCGGAACACATTTAATTTCATCTATTTTTTTATTTAAATGCATTTTTAGAAACCTATCGTATGCATTTTTTTCATTAAAATAATTTAATTTTTTCTTTTTTTTAATTTAATTTTCTTTTAGTTTTTAGATTTTATTGTTTTGAACATATATTTTTTTTAATTTAATGTAATTTTTAGAATCTTATTTAGTTTTTTTTCTTTTTTATTTTCATACATTTTTTATTTTTTAATTTTTGGTCTCTTTTAATTTTTAGTTTTAAAAAAGTTTTACGAAAAAAAAAATGTATATTTTTTTAATTTCTAGCAACTGATTTTTTATTTTCGTTTTTATACCCGAGCGCACTTGTGCACAAGGGTATATTAATTTTGTTCACATAACGGTTGTTTGTAACAGCCAAAACGAATCGAGATAGATATAGACAAATGTATACATAAATGATCAGGATGAAAAAAGAAATCGATTAAGCCATGTCTGTCTGTCCGTCCGTCTGTCCGTCTGTCCGTCTGTCCGTCTGTCCGTCTGTCCGTGTACACGATAACTCGAGCAAAAATTGAGATATCTTAACGAAATTTGGTATGTAGGTTTCCCTTAATCCAAGGTAGGTTGGCATTGAAAATGGGCGAAATCGGACTTTAACCACGCCCTCTTCCCATATAACGGTAATTTCCAGAAATACGAAAACTGCGATATTTTAGTAACTACTAAAGATAATTCACTCAAAATTGATATTTATAATAAGTTTTAGACGAAAAATAAGAATATTAAAAATTTTTGGAAAATGGGCGTAGCCACGCCCACTTATGGTTATATGTGTATATCTTGGTAACCGCTGCACCAATTTCTTCCAAACTTGGCACAGTTGTTGGCCTTCGCACAACATACTAAATGGCCGAAAATTTTTAAAATCGCTCAATAACCACGCCTACTTCCCATATAACGGTAATTTTCAGAAATACGAAAACTGCGATATTTTAGTAACTACTGGAGATTATTCGCTCAAAATTGATATTTACAATAATTTTTCGACGAAAAATAAGAATATTATAAATTTTTGGAAAATGGGCGTAGCCACGCCCACTTATGGTTACATGTGTATATCTTGGTAACCGCTGCACCAATTTCTTCCAAACTTGGCACAGTTGTTGGCCCTGGTACAGCATAAAAAATCGCCGAAACTTTTTAAAATCGGACAATAACCACGCCCACATCCCATATAACGGTAATTTAGAGAAATACAAAATCTTCGATAAATCAGTAAATATTGAAGCTAATTTATTCAAAATTGATACTTGCAACAATTCTTTACCAAGAAATACGTTTATGGTAAAATTTTGGAAAATGGGCATGGCACCGCCCACTTATGATCACATATATGTATATCGGTAACCGTTCTAGCAATTTGTACCAAACTCGGTGTGGTTATTGTGCTTGCCACATGTAAGCAAAATGTTGAAAATTATTGAAATCGGACTAAAATAAAGGCCGCTTCTCATATAACTGTAAATTTCAGAAATGCTTGAAACTTCAATATTTCGAAATTGAAGGACGCTAATTTACTCAAAATTGATACACCCCGGCTTACCATCTAGCGGAAGGTTTCGGAAAGGTGAAAAAACATATTTAATACTTGCGCCGGGTATTTAATGTTCGGCTCCGCCCGAACTTAGACTTTCTTACTTGTTTGAATTAATTTTTTTTTCATGAATCTTTGTTTTTAATTTTTAGATTTTGATTTAAAGTTTTTTTTTGTTTAATATTATTTAATTTTTTTTGTTTGGTTACAGTTTTTTCTTTAGAAGTTTAATTTTATCTTAATTTTTAGGTTTTTTTTTGTGTTAAAAAGAAAAATTTGTACTTTTTTAATTAAATTAAATTTTTAGGAAACTTATTGCCAAAAGACAAAGAGAATAAAGCTAAGACCTCTTCGTTAGCAGATCTTCCAATTGGTCTTTCGAAAGAGAGAAAAGAGCTTTTCAGATAGTTGCCAAAATGGAAAAGTTTCTTACGAAAGGCTTTCGCTAGACTTGCCCTGTTAATGTACTGATATTAGGGTGGTCCGTTATACTAAGAAGCACTAAGATCGGATGGGTAAGCACTAAAACGTGGTACTTAAGCTTATTGCATATATAGCATATTTTAAAATCGTACCGTAAATGTATATGATATGACGGAAAATGTTAGAAGACGACCCCTACGTTCGGCAAAAAATAACAACAAATTTCTAATTTGCCATGCAAATCTACCTTAAATACGAAAGTGTACTCCGAACATATTTTCTGGTGCAGCCTAATGTGCAACATACAAACGTTAAGAGCGACGAATATATGCTGGTTATTCATGCGAATTGGTGGCATGCTTTTGTTGGATGCACCGAACGCGTTGCCCCTGCACTACCGCTGCTGTCACCACCACCTGCTGCGCCAGCGCTTGCTCCTGTTTCAGCGCCGCTTCGAAAGCACAAAGGGCGGCTGGCGTCAATATTGCCCTGTCCATATCCTCTTCTTCTTCTATACTATACTATCTACGACCGCTGTTATGCTTAAGTATTCCCGCCTCCTTTGCGCTGCTCTGCAGAGTTTCCTTCCTTCCACAGGCACGCACTCGCAACTCGCCAAATTATTATTGTTTCGCGGTACTGCGCTGCGTTGCTTTGCTATGCCAAAAGATGCCTTCACTTGATTTATCTTCAAATTGCCTAGGGGCACAAAATTGTTCGCGTCCAAAGTGTGATGTGCGCTTACTGGCTATTGGCTCTTGGGCTATTGGCCTATTGGGCTATTGTGTTGTTGAAAAACGTTGGTGAAATTACTTTGCTGTCACTTTTTTATTTTTGTTGCCTTTGCTACTGACAAAGTTTAGGTACTTATTATGGCAGACATGGCTATTTTGAGGCTTGTAAATTTGTGTCAATGCGACAAAAGCGACGAATGTATCTCAGCTGCCAGTGACAGTGACAGTTGAACGCATGAAAAATTTATGAAACATCTTTGTATGCAACGATCAGTGATAAAAGTCAGCTGAAAGAATGCAGCTTGAGTGGAGCGTTAGTACTCTCGATGGAATAATGCAATGGGTTGCTGGAGACTAGATTGAAATTTATTATGTATGTATGGAAACAGAAATCGAACCTCCTAAGTTTTTAGTATCGAAATTCACAATAGAACTTTAAATTTTTTTTGAACATTGACGTTCATTCGTTATTAGAAGCGCTAGTTTGAAACCGAGCAGTATTAGTCAGTTTGACAACCCTTCTAAATCATCGCTAAATTCCCATTCTCACACAAATCAAGGTTTGTTCGCACGTATATAGTTCTTGAAAAGGCCTTCGTACGCTATGGCATTTAACGACAGTTTAGAGACTATTTCAGAACTATTCTAGGACGGTTTGGGGACCATTTCAAGACTTGTTCGATATCATTAAGTTCAAGTTCATGATTTTTTCAAAACCACTTCAAGACTACTTGAGACTAGTTTGCGATCATTTCATGACTAGTTCGGGTTTACTTCTGGAATGGTTCAATACTATTCCTGGATGAGTCAAGTCTAGTTCAAAATCACTTTAAGACTAGTTTAAGAGCATTTTGGGAGTAGTTCGGGTTCATTTTGGGACTAGTAAGGGAAGATTTCGGCAGCGGTTCGGGACTTGTTCAAGTTCATTTCGGGAAAAGTTCACGACTTGTTCAAAACCACTTCAGGACTAGTTCAGAACAATTTTTGGACAAATTCGGGATAATTTCGGGGCAGGTCGAAATTTGCTTGAAATAGTCCTCAGCTATTCCCGAAGTTGTGTGCTGGTCTCGACAAAATGAATTAAATGAAATGAAATGCTAAAAAATAAAAATTTTGTTTACCATGGAATTTTACATTGCAATTGAAATATTTTTTTGGGTGTTGTTACTAATTGGACCCAAGGGTCGCAAATTACCCTTTTCTCACATAACAGAGAAATTTTCAATCTTCATTAGATTTTGGGAGGAATAATTCCCCGTCGCGGCAATGCCGCCCAGTTCATTGAACAAACGCAGAGCACTGGAGCCAGCATTTCTCAACCAACTGAAGCCAGCACAAATAAACGTGCGCGATATGTCTTATGTCAGTATTGCATTAGCGCAAATCAATAATCCGCCAGACGACAAATGACAAATACTACACAATTATCAATAAACAAACAATTATTCAAACATTTAGTTTAATCCAAAAAACCGTTAGGTTTCACAGGTTCAAAAATTACCGTAAGGTACATACAAATTAGATTTGTATTTTAAGGGACTAATAAAGGTTAATTTCTAACTTAACCTATGTATGTAGATGAATCGCCCAATGCTTTGCCAAGCCGTACACAAATGTTTACTCGTCAAACTTCATGAATGCCTGATACTTGCACCTCTTTATGCCTCTTGACCAATATCTGGAGTCGCTATGTTGGACTAAAGATCCCCATTATCCGCAGCCCCCCTCGACCACCCCTTAATAAGAATGAATAAATTGGTGGTTGGACTCCAACGCCCGGACATTTGTATGCACTACTACATGATTTTGGGGCTCTTGTGATATGATGTAACTAGTGTAGGGAAGTTTATGATTTAGCTAATTCATAAATATTTCATCTCATCAGTCTGATTGAGCTCATCGTCCAAAAAGGTAAGAAGTTGATTGTGCTGAATTTCTCAGAAGTCCCTCCATTATGTTGTTATTCTTTTAAAAATATGAATATTTTTAATAATTTTATTTATTATTAAGGAACTTATTTGATTTTTATTTTTTAAATACATTTTTTTCTTCCTTTTGTATAGTTTTCTTTTAATTTTTAGAAAAAAACATATTTTATAAAATTTTACATAATCTTTAGAAACTTATTTTATTTATTATTTCTTTTTTGAGGTTATTATGCTTTTTTAATTTAATTTTCTTTTAACTTTTAAATTTTGTTTTAAAACTAAAAATATTTTTCTTTTTTAATTTTAAACTAATATTTTCTTCTTTTTTAATTTCATTTATTTTCGCTTTATTTTAATTTTTTTTATATATTTTTTTATTGTAATTTAATTTTTAATTTTCGTTGGGCCAACTTTCGAAATTTCTTGGAAAAAATAATTTTTCAGTTTCAGTCTAATATACTTATGCACATTGATGTAAAAAAGCTCGCAAATCTTGTAATTAAACATTAAAATTTATTGGTGAATCGAGAATATTCCTGTTTTACATTAACCCATTTTTTGTTAAATGCTTCACTTTATCGCCTTTCACGAAGGTTCATCATGAATTCTTTAACTAACCACTTACCACTTCGGTAGAAGTAACTAATTCGGTCACAAAAACAATGCGCTAACTGTAACTTGCCATGCAATGTACAGTTTTTCCCAGCGATTATCGTAAGCTTGTTACATTATTTCCTGTCATTGCCGTTAGCGCCGTGAGATATTACGAATGTGACTAAACGTGTAAGCGACTTACTTTGTGCCTATGTATGTATGTACTGAACGAGTGGCAAGCATCTAATAGTGAATTTCTTCTAGTCGTTCAGCATTGTGCAACATAGCATTTTGCATACTCAATCTCAACCACTTAGTGCCCATTAGCTGGTTGTTTTAGTCAGCATTTTATTGTGTGTCAGTATGCTTATGTTGTTGCTGTTGTTGTCGTTGTTGTTGTTGTTGTTGTCGTTGCCGTTGATAAGTTGTATGTACAGCAAGCAACAAACAGTTGCTTCCCAGTTCGTCGGTGGTGGTCGATGGCGTACCATAAAAAAAAACAAAAACAAAAACAACAAAAAGAAAATCAGCAGCGATCAAGTGGCCAAACAGCAAAACGGCAGTTGTAAGGAGAAGGCAACAACATTATTAAGCTAATGATATGCCATTAATTTTATTATAATAAGCCTTTCTTTTTCGCCAGTCAGGCAGGCAATCAGCTAGCCAACTCCCTGGTTAAGTCATGACTTCTGGCTATAAAACGGGGTTGACTCTGGTGCTCCCGCGCGTTGTTGTTGCTACTGCCACCGTTCAGATTTTTTTGCTGTTGTACCTACTTTTTTGTTTTTGCTTTTCGTATAAGTGATCTTGTCGCACTCCTACTGTTGCGATGATAAATTATATGGTGAAGTGTTCATCAGCAGCTTAACTGATTTCTTAAATTTTTTGTTTTTCAAATCAACTTACGTTTCAACGGTCAATTATTTTGGTATTTTTTGCTTTACTGTTTTTTTTTTTTTAATTTTCCTGCATTTTATCAGCGGCCACAGGCCACAGTTGATCATCACTGATTTCCTAAGCTTGACCTAAATACGTTTTGCACCTGAAAATGTAGTACGCCGGTATTAACTACTTTATGGTATTGATTTTCACTAAGCGAGGAGTAGTTTTATAGAATTAGCTATTAAGGAACTAAAGTTGAAATGTAAAACAACCCAACAGTATTTTGCTATTGAGTTTGAAGTTGAAGCAATGGCTTGTGGATAATATGTTAAGTTAAGTAAGCAGGCATTAAAATTTAAACGACAACAATAAATCCGCCCACCTATCATACATAAGATGTCTAATTTTACGGCGTATTTCGCGAGATATGTTAACGTTTGTATATGTTCGTATATGTACTAAGAAACATAGCTATTAGCGTAGTTAAGTTTAACTTCCTCTAAATGGTAAATCAAAATGAGACTAACAGTGCAATTCCGACAACTCTCTTGCACCTCTTTACAAAGTCAAAAGCCTTTCGTAAGACAATTTTTAATTCTGGCAACTAACTTGAAAGCTCGTTACTGTCTTTCGAAAGACTAATTGAATTTTTAAAAAGCATTTAAATTTAAATAAAATCCCTTTTTCTTTCCAAAACCATAAAAACGAATACACTTTTTTTTTAATAAATAAAAATATTTTTAAAACTTAAATGAAATAGAAAAAATGTTTGGTTCCTTTTAAAACAAAAAAATTTAAAAACTAAATTAGAAACAAAAAAATTTAATTCAAAGTAAATCAAAAAGTACTTCAAATCAAATAAATTATATGTATTTTTCAAACAAAATCTAAAAGCAAAAAAATAAATAAATTAAAAGAAAACAAAAACTAAAATAAGATCCTAACAGTTAAATAAAATAACACAAATATATTTTTCTTTTTAAAACAATAATACCTATATAAAATTAAAGGAAAATGAAATTAACAAAAGAAAACAAAATTAAATTAAAAAGAGAACAAATAAATACAATAGGTCTCAAAAAATTAAATGTAATTAAAAAAATAAAAATATTTTGCTTTTTTAAACAATAAAATCTAAAAGTCAATAGAATATTAAGCAAAAAAAAACTTATTAAAAAAAAGAAAAAAGTAAATAATTTCCCAAAAATTAATGAAATTTAAAAAACGTTATTCTTTATAAAAAGAAAATTAAATTAAAAAGAAAAAATAAATAAATAAAAAAAGCCGCTGCACGAGAACTCGACCCCGGATCTCTCAAGTGGTACACTTACTGGGTCATTGTAACTGTTGGAGCGACGCAAGCTAAGTGATATACAAGTGCTTTCTCTCAAAACAGATTTTCATAATGGGTGATACTGAATCGGCACCGTTTTATAAAACTTTAGAAAAGTTCATTCTTGGTGAGACAGTAGTTTTGACGAATGCAGACTCAATAGCGATACAGATATGGCTCTGTGGGCGTTTTCACTGCAGAAATAAATTTTAATGTATTATAAACGAAACAATTGAGGGATTCACAACGGTGTCGTAAGTGTCGTATTGTTGTATGTCGTAAACTTTAAAAGTTTAAATAAATGTTTAGAGAACTTGAAACCTCAACCAACTATTTTTTAGCACCACAGATATTCATAATATGACTTTCATGGTACTTCGGGAACCCCCTTAATATAATTTTTAGGCGTTTAAAGTTTACGACATACAACAATACGACACTTACGACACCGTTGTGAATACCCCAAATAAGCTTTTCTAAAGAAGCCTGTTAACCGTCTCAATTACATCGACCACCTATTTTCTTTACCTGTATACTCTTGCCACCAGCAGAACTACCCACCCGGGCACAGGGCGTTTCGCCGCCCCTGAAGACATATAGAAACTGCGTTGCACGCCAGCTTTTAACAATATTTATTATTCCTAGTGAAATAACGATAGCGCTGATAATCCCCAGCACGTATACACGACTGAGTACGTTCGTAGACACAATGATGCAATGTGAGTTCGTATAGCTTGCGGGAGTTTCGTTGACCCTCACAAATTAAACATTAAATCTATAGACATTATACTAGGAACCAGATGAATACAAGGGCTAAGGAGCAAATAAATGTAAACTTACTAAAATATTTATTAACCACAAATAACAGAGCATTACGGGCTATTGTGTGCCCGTACACAATTAGTAAAGGGTATAACATAGCCATACACAAAAGAGAACAATAAATCGAATGAATTCTGTTATATGAAGGTGGCATACGTTTTAACATAGCTGCCATGGGTGCTAGGACAAAGTGGCATTGCGAAAAAAAAAGAATTCAGAGCGGGCACTTCGGTTCCACTTTTGCCAGCGAGGAAGCGGATGAGACTGCCATTCGTTCCTTACGCGTTAATTTTTAGGGAAATTTTCTTAAAGAACGAGGTATTAAAATCATAAATCAACTAAATGTTTGTCGATTTCAAAGCCGCTTTCGACAGCACTAAAAGGCGTTGTCTATACGTCGCGCCTTCTAAAGTTGGTATCCCCGCGAAGCTGATACGGCTGTGTGTGCAGTTCAGGAGCAAAGACTTCTCTCGATATACGAAAATCGCACTCTATAGGTCACTCACTTTTTTTAAAATTTTTGTACATAGTTTGAAATTTGGATTTTTTGGACACTAACTTTTATAAAATTAGTTTGAAAAAAATAAAAATAAATTATCAAACCAAACCGGGTGTCATTTTGTCGCCAGTTTTTCAGACATTTACCTATATAGAAGTTGTAGCTTGGATATTAAAATTTAAAAAATAATTGGTATATCTCAAAGCGTATCAAAAGTACGAAATTATATGTAGGTGTACCGTACATTAAATATCTGCTAGTCATAAAATGCATTGATTGATACGATTTTTAAGGTAATGGTTTATTATTAGAATAGTACTATCAATATTTTTTTGAGAACATCGAAAACCACCGATAGCGCGATCATCGATAGTTCTCCAGCTCTATTGGGCAGTAATCACTTCAACTTAACCTAACCTAAACTAAAAGACATTGCGCAGAAATTCCACACTTAATTGCAAATGGCTATGTATGTATGTATGAATTTCTGCTTATAATTTATTATAGTTCTATAAACTTCAACTCCATTCAACCAGCTCGTAAATAAAATTCCCGCCATATCAAGTGCTGAATATATTATGCCAATTTAAATATACGAGTGGTACTTAAAAAATTCACAATCACACTAAGAAATATGTAAGAAAAAGTAGTAAAGAAAAATAGCCATCCTGGATAGTTAAAAAATATACGAACATTCACACTAACTACCTAGAGTATATTCTAGTAGTGCCTTTGTGGTTTTTTTACAAGTAAGTTTATATGCGTTCACATGCTGCTTGTTTGTTTAATATTATTTTGTACTATCAGCCGGTGGTGACACCTACCAGACCAAAACACGGACTATGTCGCTGATATGGCTTACTACGTACGAAGCACATTTTATTATGGGATAGTGTACCTGCAGATGCATGCGCATGTAAGTATGCATGTACATATGCGATGTGGAAGGACCCCACGCGTTTAAGGTTTTGCGATTTTAATTAAAATTTAATGTTTTCATGCTTTTTTATTTACGATATGCGATAGTGCTTTATAAGCAAATAAATATATAACTAGTACAGAGCTACACTCTTTTACAAGAAAGTACATACAAACATATGTATGTACGTACATCTGTGTTTGTTTGTTAGCCTGCAAAATGTCCCGATTACTGTGGCACTGGTCGTATCTGGTAGCCAGCGCGACATGCCCCGCGACAGCTCTGTGCAGTGAGCGGCGTGGCATTGGCTAGTTTACAAGTGCTCGTAAATTGAGAAACTGCATGTTGCTGCCACAAATAGGAATTTATGATTTCAACAAACCAAACAACAGTGGCAACAACAAGCAACAGGACTTGTGGTTGCAGAACATAAAAAAGGGTTGTATGGTTAGTAATAAAAAATTTGTAACAAAATTTTTTTTGCTTCGATTTCCGCAGGCGGGTGTCTACTCTTCACGTGTTTAGTGCATCTTTCTATTTTATTTTCAAAAGAAGTTAATTCATTTGAAATTTAAATAAAATTCATTTCCATTTTATGTAAAGATTTTTGAATTACATTTATTGCATTTTCGTCCCCCTTCCAATAATTCGAGAATTGTTCGAGAATCTGTTTAGTGATTTTGTGGCAAGGCAAAGGATGCAAAAAAATAGCAGTTCAAGAAATTATTTTAATAAAACATTTTTGCCTACCTACTCATGCACGACTGGAGTTTTCAGTTCAATAACTTTAGTTCAAAAATCGAAAATAAAAGCAAAGTAAATACACTCGACTTCCATACGTCATGTCGCAATCACATGTTCAAATGCAACAAGCATGTCGAATGCTGGTATCGCTTGCCCTGCGCTCACCCTCTTAAAAGTATAATCCGATAGCAGCTAAGTAATATTACAATCACAGTTCTGACAAACACACACATTTAGGTGTATTATATTTGCGACGCCAGCTCACTCCTGCTCTGCTTTAGCTCTAGATCCAACGCTATTCCCTATCTCCCCTCCACGATCACCTTTACCCACACCACTGCCTTCTAAGCCTTTGCTCTACCTTCAATTTGCTCGCGTTGTGCATTCTAGGTTGGCATTTCATTTGAATTGAATTGTTCACTTCCACATATTTATCTATTTTTGCATAATATCCATTTATGCTATTTAAATATTTTATTTTATTTTTGTGCATTTAATAAAATTTTATTAAGTCATAAAAATCTTTAACAACGTGCATGCAAGCCGCATAAATACGGCACAACTAAATCCATAGCTAAGCCACCGCCATCACTTGGGATACATAAATACATTTGAAATTTATGCTAAAATAGAATAGAATTGTCTTTGCCTTTGACTAGAGCTGTCTCCTTGGATAAACTCTGCCCTGCACAAACAGCGATGGCTAGGCAGGTGTGTGTTTTGGCCGTTGATGGCAGCACATTTTTGTCTAAAGTTCAGAGTGGTGAGTGTTGGAACCAGGAAGCTATTTAGTTACGTTTAGCGCGCGTGCGCAAGCTTCATATATGTTTCTATGTAAATACATAGTACTTATGCAGGTATACATATTTACCTACAAACATACAGAAAACTAGCTGGCACACTGCATTTTGCATGAGACACTTAATTTATTGTTTTTTATTTATAATGGGAATGGTTAGAGTAGTGGCAATGGTAACGGATATAGAAGTGGTAATGCTAACGAGAATGGTAATGTGTATGATAATGGTAATGGTAATCGTAAGAGTAATGGCAAGGGTAGTTGTTACGGTGATGGTAATGGTTATGATATGGTAGTGGTAAAAGTAATGATAACGATATTGATAATGGTAAGGGTTATGCTAAAGGTAAAAGGTCATTACCTAGTGCTAATACTAATGGTAATGATAATGATAATGGTTGTAGTAATGGTAACCGTTATGGTAATGGTAATTATAATACTAGTGACAGTGACGATTTTTATGGTACTGGCGCTGACAGTGTTAATAATAATTGTAACGGTAATGGTAATTGTAGTGGTAGTGGTAATGCTAATTATAATGGTAATGTTAACGGCAATATTAATGGTAGTGGTAGTGGTAATTATAATGGTAATGTCAATGGCAATGGCAATGGTAATAGTAAAATTTAATTGTTATGGTAATAATAATGGGAATGATACTTTTAATGGTAATAGTAATGGGATTCCCCGCATTACCATACAGTACAATTGTACTGGAAATTTTTTTGTCGTTGTAAAACACAAAACAACGCATGCTCGGTTTAGATGTAGGTTATACTGGCTGACCATAAGAGGTCTTGCATAGACAAATATAAGGTCCATAGCGTTTCCACACGCTTTTACGACCTATGAATCAAAGCTTTCATGTAATGTTAATGGACACTGCCGTTTCTTTTCGCGAAATCTAATGGTCAATTTGGTCTTTTGCCGAGTAACGCGAGTCTTTGCCTGCTGAATACTGGACCGTCGCAAATTATATGCTCCACGTGGCTCCACGGTTTCCTCATGATAGCTACATTTCCTAAATTTTTTTGTCCTTAATTATATCTAATTTAAATGCAGGTACTCCTGAGTTACTTTCCAAGGCCTGTCCGCTTGGCGGTATATGAGCAGGTCTTGTGATATTTTGATTTTCCCAAGAGGAAGTGGTGTATTCGTCATTTGCGAGACATCTAAGAAGATGTCCTCCTTGGCTAGCTCGTCAGCTCTCTCATTACCTTTCACACACTTGTGTCCTGGTACCCAATAAAGGTGGATGTTTTTAGCAACATTAGCTTTCTTCTAGCCTCCCTACAGTCCACGACGGTGATCGAATTTGTTTCATATGAAAGTTGAGCTTTAATGACCGCCTGACTACTTATGTAAATGTCGGCTTGATAGATACTGCAGTGATCTGGTAGTCCCAAGGACCTATAAATTACTGGTTTTGTGAAATATACTGCAGCCCCTATTCCTTCGTGGGTTGGTTTGGGATCACGTAGTCTTTTCGTACGATTAAGGAGGACGCTATACTAGTGTGATCATACGTTCTGAATGTTTTAGATCTAAATAATTTAAGAATAAATAGAAGCATTTCTTGAATGCCAAAGAAATCAGTGAGGTTGTTGTGTTTTCCGATCACAGTCAACTATTTGTGTGAGTCAACAGCTGTACAAGTTACCTGCAGTGTCATCTGCTCGATGAAAGCAAATACCTAACAAAAATTTCTCTGAAGTAGAAAACAATGAGACGTTAAAACCTCCCAGTCATTATTGAGCGAGGTCCTAGCGAGTGATCTGGTAACCAGAGTAAAAGAACTTCTTTACTTCATACTTGTATTGCCGAACTTGTCTGAAAGAAGTTAGAAAGCTGGCTCCCACAACATATAATATCTTAATACCTAACTTGGTTTCCACCACGTAATCAAAAGCCTTAGGGGTTGCAAGTAACTGGGCTCAGAACATTGAGGCATATTCCTTAAGGGAAAATTAAGCTTATCCCGATTATATTCAATATAGACACCGGATACTGACCCAATGTAAATTGTGGAGCCATCGGTAAAGATCTGAAAATTTTTTAGTCCAGGCGGCGTGCTGCTAATCCCAGCCGGCAATCATCACCAAAGTGATTCTGGCTGAGTCCAATAAAATAACACAGACGTTCATTTTCTGTGCCAAGTGACGCCAATCGGAAATGCCAAGCGAAGCCAAGCCTTTCCACATCTGTTCTTTCGATTACAGATGAGGCCTTCTGTTAGACGAATCGCGATCCGCGGTGAAGGCCTGCTATACCATGCCATTTATTCACGTCTGATAATAGGTCTGATTAGTAGATACGAGAGTCGTTTATATTGACAATGATCAGGCTTTAAATCAGAGGAGAAAACATATGTATGCTCTCTTTTAAAACGACATCAATGTATTAGTACAACTCGGAAAAAATAACTTGTGTTGAATTTAACTTAAAGCCAGTTATTTCTCCAAAGCAAGGCAAGTTTATTTTAGAGTAATTTTGGGCTCGCTTAAACCGAAAATGAGTTTACCGCTTCTTAAATTCTGTCTTATGCCGGAATAAGTATTTCTTAGTTTGTATATTTTTTAGTTCTGAAGACACTTCTTGTCACCGTTAACAATTTTGCTTAGTGGAATGATCTATAAAAGACATTTTAAATTTTAAATTTACATATTAGTAAAGTCTCAAAACAGCAAATTTGTCGCTTAGAGTTACTCACCTACTTATTTATTGCTATGCAATCGCTCTCTTCATTTTTGCATAATTGTTGTCCATTTGTAGCCAACTGACAATATAGTTGATAAGTAAAAATGCGACACTTTTATAAAATTAGCGATTAGTCAGCACTACTATGTGTGTGTGTTAGGTGAGTTCGATTTGCCAAATATGTACCAACGCACATACCTACTTTCAAATACTGGTTTATAATGCATCAGTATATATATCTTTGGCAAGCATTAAATGTAGTTTGAAATGCATTTATTGACATTTTTAATGTTTCTGCAAGTTCCCAGACTAAACTAAACTTTTATATTTTTCAGGTAATTAAAAATTCAAAGCACAAACCCAATTGGCAACCAACAAAAATCAGTAGAAAGGTGCACAGTGGCTAAATGTGTTTTTTTTTCGTTGGCATATATTTTTAAGGCAGTTGTTGACTTAATTAATTTTGATCGCGTGAATGATATGCATAGGAGTGAAGGTTTAGTGCAAATGCCACGAAAAAGCACAATAATTGTCAGCAATCAGTTACTTGTTGACTCCTGCGCTAGCGGCTAGTAAAGTGTTTTGTTGGCAAATCAATGGGTGATCGGTTCGACATGGCGACTTATTACTGTCACTCTAGTCTTTTCTATGCTTTTTGCTGTATTTTCTCCTTCCTTGTTACCGTATATATGTTTTTGACACATTGATGACACAGTTCCTTCAATCATGCTTCTAAATTTGTTGCCTTTTGTTGCGTTTGACAAATTTTAATTGCAGGTTTTATTAGCATTTAACAGGCATACTGGCATTAATAATTCTTTCATTATTTAATAATTTTAGGAAAATATTTTTCAGAATGGTAGTATATCTATATGTAAGTAAACATACATAAAACCTACACTATTTTTTCTTAGTACATAAAACAATTAAATAGCTTGCACCGGCTAATCAGAATTTTGAATAAAATTGGATGTAGATTCCAACGAATTCCCTTGGTGCATTCTTCTGTTGCCTATTTTGATAGAAAATCTGGCCTGCTGGAGTGCTTTACGGCTGCCCAATACAATCATTATGAAAACTGGAGATCTTCGGGATCATTTGGCGGTTCCCAAGAAATTTCCGGGTGATCTTGCTATCAAGCTCATAGATATAAAACAACAGAAATCATCCTTCCGAAAGTCATATAAAGTCAGAAATCCCGAAAGGGACTGTAGTAAAGCGATAATATCTTTGATTGACGAAGGATCCCAGGTAGGGTAAACCGTCAAATCAAAGATGGATTATGGGAGTATTGGGTCAGGAGTCCGTGGGGTATGCGCCCTTGTTCCAATGTTCCAAGGACATGAAGTCTTTGAAGACAACGAAATAGCTCACTGTATCGCAAATGGTAGATCACAAATGCGCTTTCATGGTCCCGAACCTTTCTGCGGGATATCTAAGGGATACACTGCAAAGCAATTTAGGAGCTGGGAAGAATCACACACAATATATGAAATACTTATTACAACTGAAATTTAGTGCTTAACACCAACAATATATTTAATACTAACACGGGAAGAAAAGTTAATTACAAAAATAAATAAAAACTTTGGTGTTGGAGCGCACCCTGGGCGAAGTCAAACCAACAGGTTACGAAGCCACTCGCATTACCGCCCGCGTTGCCGGGGGTAACTTCAACCCACCGATGTGACTGGGCTCAGGGTGCGGGATGCTAAGAACGATGGGGAAGGGGTATACAGTAAGAGGAAACCTATCTACAACATTAACGCCTGAGCACAGACACTAAAAAGTGATACCTATCGTCAGTAGGTGGACGTTCCGTCCCCCTGCAGGGTGTTCCTTGGGAATATAGTTCTAAAATCCGGTGCCGACTTTACCACGCTTCGACTACTAGTGCCTCGCCTGACACTACACCAAAAAGATAATTAATAATTTGAAACTAGATTGCCAAGAATCAGCTACGCTCGCAATCCGCCCGATAATTCTAGAAGCGAATTTGGCGCTTTCGCAGTCGCCACCATTGCGCACACAAACAATACAAAAACCTGTTTCGCTCACTGCTTTCGCATATACATACATATGCACAATTGAGTATTGGAAGACTTCACTCCTATCGGTTGGAGTGAAAGGAAATAGGTAAATATAACGAAGGCGAATTTTGTTGCGGCCAGTACGCGACACCAGATCTGAGCACAAATTGGCGCTACTTGTTACAAATTGAAATAATTTAAGGTGCACATACGTATATATGTGTAGCCACAGTCTGCAGAGGTTAAAGAAATTTTTTATGCAAAAATTTATTTACACAGAGTGCAACCAAGTAAGCCACTGTTTTAACATTAAGTCTGAGGAATTTTCAGCACATGACATTTTCGCACGAATTTAAATTCTGTTGACATCTTTAATCATATTGAAATTATAAGCATGTAGAAAACACATTAAGTATATTTCATAATAGCCTTTCAAAAATTCAAGAGCAATATTATTAAAAACACATTAACCCAATTCGGGGTGCGTCCAAAAGTGTTTTTTTTTTCGTAGATTTTTGATATCGTACGTGTAACAAAGGCACACCCACGACTACATGAAGAAAAGTACATGAAAGAATAGTTGGGGGAAAAAAATATCAGATAAAAATCGACATAATTCAAAAACTAGTAGACGACTGTGCTTTCATTCATTCCCATGTACAATGTAGAGCTGTAGCAGGCATACGAAATGAAATACATGTAACCACTTATTTTATCCGTAAAAAAAGAAGAAAGTAAGCATAACAAAAATCGTGTGAATTCATGGCAAAACAATCAACAGTAGCAGCGGTTGATAAAAATAAAATCAATGCCAAATCAATCGATAAATGATGGCAAACTCGACGAATATAGGCCGAGATTTTCAGTAAATTTTTTAGGCGGTGCTTAGGTTTTACCTGCAGGAAATGTTTGTACCGTTTTTAAATTGCGGAAATTACCCAAAAAGCGTTTATTTTGCGTGCATTAGTTCGAATCCGTCACCACCGCTTTCCCGTATTCCTTCCGTTCTTCAGAAAATTGATAGATGCGCCGGGGTACCGATTAATATAATCGCATGCTCGGGTGCGTATGAATATCACAGCTTTGAATGCGTACTAACACAAAGGTACAAACTATAAACATTAAAAAACTACCAGCGAGTAATATCGCCGCATCAAAACTCAAAACATGAATTGGTATAAAATTAATGACTGTCATGTTGTACATAAATTCAAGCGGTGTGCGTGTAGAGAGAAATAAAAAATGAAACAGTGGTAAGTAGAAGCCAATTTTTAAATAACGTACATATGTATGTAATAAACTCTTCGTAAAATAAAGCATGCAGAGTGCAATGCTGAGTGCTTATTTGCATACATTCATACGTATGTAAGAGGTAAATAATC